TCAAGGACAAAGAGGCTGAGCTAGTGGCCTGGCTATTCAGCAATTTATCCTCAAGGATGGCATACCGATAATGCCTTGTGGTCTAGACATATGTTTCCATAAAACGGCCCACTTAGAGGTTGAAGATTCCCAATTCAGTGACCTTCCTTTTAAGCTCTTTGACCACAGCTACTGTATAATTTTCTGCGCTGAATATGAGCTGCTGTTTGCCGAAAGCCCGCCGCTAGCATCCACAAAGCTACTTCCAAAAAAGGATTGAATATTGACCTTGAGACTGAGTCACTGAGCAAACCAGACTCACATCATCTGCTGGTTCTTCAAAGATACACTACACGCAGTGAAAAATGGATGTCAGAGAGATGTAACATTAAAATCTCCTCAAACTAAATATTCAGTTGAGACTCGTACAAGGGCAGACTTGGAAAGAGAAAAGAGAGGGTTTGTGTATGCGTGTGTGGACAGAATACAAACCATAGGCCCTCGTAAAAAAAAAGCGTGAGTCAGAGCTAACCTTCTTTCAAATGCTGACGGGGGCCCAAGGACACCCAGGGCACGTTCACCCACTCCTCAGAGGTTCCTGAACACGCTTGTGAAGGCCTCTTTGAAATAAGTGACCCTGAAGAAAACCCACAATATCTTTCATTTCTGCTATTTGCATCATCTCTGTCGTCAACATCAACAGCCTGAATCTTAATCATCAACGCCACTAGTATCGCTGTCATTCTCATTATCATCATTGCTTTCATATCTTTCAGCACTGTCCTCCTCTGCTTCATTATCACCATCATCATCATCATCATCATCATCATCATCATCATCATCCCACTGTAACTACCGACTGCTCCTTTTCCTCCCCAACCCTCAGAATGACCTGTTCCTCTGCCTGTCCTGGTTTTTTCCTCCCCTCTGACAAATAACTCAGGCGGCCTACTTCTGACAGGACACACTGTTTGACTCACTAGTCAGGTCTGACTGAGACAAAACCACTTCAGTGCACAGAAGCCAGGAAGAGCCAGTCACATCCTGACGAGGAAGATGAGCTGTTCTTGAGTAGACAAGCAGAAAAGACCAGATGTGAGTAGAGTAGGGCGTGGAGATGGCTAATAATGATGCTGCAGGTTTGTGCAAGCCGCTGTTGTTTTTGTGCTTCTTTTGTCATCTTTGTTTCCTGTCTGTAATTGGGGTATGTCGATTGTTCAGGTAACAGAAAAAAATATAAAAAAATAAAAATAAAAATCAAACTCTCTTCCAGCACAACAGCTTTATCCTTCAAAACAACCGTCAAATAAAGAACTAATGGAAGGACGATGGCAAAGAATTGTGCTCATTTCTCCGAAAAAGAAGTGGACAGTGTGAGATCCAACCCACTCTTAACAGAATAAAAGCATAGAGACAAAATGGCTCCCAGCAGGGTAATTCTGGCAACATTTTGCATTAATATAATCATTCTATTAGCTGTAATATGGCTCCTATTATTTGTACCTTAACACGTTCTCTACACTGCCGGCTCCACACAGGCAGAAGCACTTTGGAACTGAATGAAATGTGACTGGATCCATTCAAAGTCCTCATTTTCCAGGACATCTTGGCACCAGGTAAAGCATGTGCAAAGCTTTTTAATGGTGACACAGAAAGAGAAAAAAATAGATGCTGAATGATCAGTGCTTCATCCATGTGCGTCTAACATCAAAGCGTGCAAGTTTTATTGTCTATGCATTCTGTGCGGAACATAAAGAGTTGGTTTCTGGGACCGAACCTAAACAAAGTGAGTCCAAGCAACATCTGTGGCCCCCCCTCATCTTGACACCAGGCTAGAACCAGCACCAGCATGTTTCCAGAAAGACAGCCTGCTCTGGTTATTACTAGGAAATAGTCCTCAGCGGTCTTTGCCGAAGTTTTGGTTAAAGCGCTCTCCAACAGTTAGAGAGAGCGGCCATGCATGTTTCTCTCCCCTAGGGTAGAGCAGGACTGCTGAGAGCAGCAGGGTCTCTGCACCAGATAAATGTTTGGACAGGAGAGGCTCCAGGTTGCTCTGAAAACAATGGGATCAAACAGGACCATCAAAGGCATGTAACAAGATCAAAGGCTGGCAGAGAGAACTTTACTTTCAGTCCATATACCAGCAGAGATAGAGGATTAGTGAGTATTAGAAAGCTGGTCTGTCAGTATTGCCAGTGGTAGTTTTTATTCATGAGTGTCACAGTGCAAATGGAAACATCAAAGAACCAGGCATACTAAGACGAGAGCAGTGAAGTGTTTATGGTGATATATTGCAGCGGGCTTTAAAAGGGACATTTGGTAAATCCCAGAAATGTGGAGCGAGGGATTTCCACAATAGAGCTCATTTTAAGAGCAACCTGGCCAAACTCTGCCAGACTTTGGTCATGTGAGAGCCACTTTCTTTGACAACTCAATAAAAGCGCAGACCGAGCTGGTTGACCTTTTCCCTGCACCATCTGACAAAGCTAACAAAATCAATCTTGCCGCTGCTGACTGGGAGTGATTTTGTGCCAAGACATCCATGAACCATGGATGGTGAGGGGCTGAATATCAGATGGAGGAGGCACCGCACACCTGCGCCTCCTGACTTTTCCAGAATGGAGGCACATTCAGCCGTACTTCACCTGCTTCTCCATGTTTATTATTGTACCTCTGTCTCTTATCCCACACTGGGAGTAATCAGTTGCGGAGGGGGGGGATCTACTTTCCACCTCATACTGCCTTCAGTGGTTATCAATAGAACCTTTCAGAAAGGACCTTTCCTCTACTGATTGAAACATCATTTCCTGCAGGACTAGCACACTGGGGCTATTGAGAAGTGCCCCCTGTAAGTTTTTCACTACAGCTCTTTCATATTTACTAGTGACCTTAAGACCTCAGGGGCAACATACATATGGTATCAGCTTGCAGTCGGGCTGAGGGTGCGAGGGGCATAAATGCATCCACACAAACATTCTCTCAGTATGGAACAGTCAATCTGAGAGACACAGAAGGGTTTTCACTGCAGGTCCCGCGCCGTTCCAAAATAAATAAAGTCCCGAAGAGAGAACTTGACACTTTAAACATGAGAGTAAAGCATCAGGGCCAAGTCAAGAAAACAGAAAAAAAGACTTACCCCATATGAAACTATATTTAAAGAACCTACCAATCAGAGTAGCCAGCTCTAGAGTAGGGGTCGACTGATTATCAGCCTGGCCAATTATCAGATCTGATATTCAGCATTTTGGTTACACATTGTGAGTAATAGCCTATCAACGCTGACTACCAGAGACGGGCACAGCGGAACGAGTTTGCAGACTGGAGCAGGTTCCGGTGAGCTGTGTGTCAAAGGTAAGGCAGCAGACACCGTTGGAGTTGCAATGCACATCACATATTCTCTACAATAAAGTTGCAAAAACCACCACAGTCTTACGAAAAAGTTCATTTGTTAATCCAGTACACCAGGAGTAACTAGCGGCTCTGAATAGTGTGCGAACGACTGTGGAATTAGCGAGAACGTCGCTAAAAAGGAGCAAAGAGCTCTGAGTGCTTGAGCAGAACTGGTATAAGCTTAAATGTTCAGCGGGTTATTAGCTGCTGTAATGAAGAAATTAGCAACATTAACTGGGTTGAGATAGAGCAGCAAAAAAATGCTACCAGTGACACAGAAACACTGGCAGCCAGAAATAAAACAATACGGTTAAGTTTTTTTTGTTTATGAAAACAGCAGGTAAGTCAGATAAAAGTGTAACTAACTAATAAATGGCACTGCGTTACATTTTTCAAAGGGGAAAGGGGAGGGATAAAAACTGTTATATGGTGATAATAGTAATATATTATAAAGCTATTTAATTAAAGAACATCTTTAGGCTACCATGCATATATGAATGGGTATTTCAATGCATACACCGTGCCCAGGTGAGAACTGCACTGAAAGCTACCTATCGGGCTCTTTGCAGCCTGTGCATACAACTGATCATTACTAATATACACTCAGTTGGCAGTTTACTATTAGGTACATCTAGCTAAAACTAATGCAGTCTAATACAGTCCTGCAATAAATCCTCCTTCATGAAGGTTATAATGTTCTGTTTTTATTAAAAGTGTTGTAGAGAGGTGTTGATTCAACTGTATGATGATTTTGGAGGACGCAGAGTGTGATGCTGGTGAGCTGTGCTTCATTACACAGAGAGGTGTTTTTTGTCATTTAGCCTACCTTCATTGATATAAATGGGATAGACAAAATAATAGAAAGTCACAAGCAGGTCTCAAGTCTTAAGCGTCAAGTCTCAAGAAAGTCCCAAGCTACTGTGGTGAGAATCAAGCATGCAGTTTCCACATGTACATCAGTTAAAAGACAGTGGTCATGAAAAGTTTATTTCCAACTGTGACTGACGTGGAGGAGTTTTGTGTTGGAGTTATGTGTTGGAGTTTATGTTATTAGTTATACATTTTAATTTTTCCCTCAAATGTTTATCAGTTCCAAATCGGTTATCAGTCTCATTTATTTCTAATAATCAGTATCAGTATGAACCCTGAGAAAAACATATCAGTCGACCCCTTATTGAGCCAATCTATCTGTGACCCACTGTTAAGCATGGTACATTAAATTGGCTTCCATGTGATTTTTTTGCTTGTACTATAAAAAGGCCTGTCAGCTCCCTGACGTTTTGAGGGCAAGGCAGAGATGAGATGAGAGAGAGGAAGAAAGAGGAAAGAAAGAAGTGGGGTGGAGATAAAGAGAAGAGAGACGCAGTGCATTGCTGCGACTCTGCGAGGCGAAGGGATACAAGCCGCGTCTCCCCTGCTCCCTGACCAATTACTAACACACACACTGATTCATAGAGGCGACGAGGTGTGGAGAACATGGGCAGAGGCGCAGTGGCAATAAACAGTTGCGAGACTTACACATTAATCTATACAAAACAATGCTGCAAGTTGTGCAAGGGTGGACATGTTTAAAATACATCAGCGGCTATGGAGTTAGGGATTTCAGTAGAAACGCAGTGATGGAAGATTACCTGTAGGTCAAAGAATTTGCTGTATCTTCTATAGATGATGTGGGAGGTGTTGTCAGAGTAGGTGACATTGATGAGATACACCTGTGAAGATAAAAAAGGCAAAGTTAAAACTCGAGCTGCAACTTATCATCGTTTTGTCATTCGTTTTAATCAGCTCATTCAAGTAGAATCTCACATTTGAGACGCTGCTTCATAAATGGCAATCGATTACATCATCAATGATGGACTAATCAATTACTCTACTAATCTTTTCACAACTCGTCGAAACAATATGTCAATTAATGGATTGTGATGGCGTACACATGTGGTTGTCGTACGAAGAAACTCCATGGCAACATGCACACACGGCCCAAAACAACCCCCCCCCAACCCCCCATAACATGAACGTTCAATGACACACACTCATAAATCTGTCAAACGTTGATAGTTCAGGGGAGATGGTGACATCATCCTTCTTTTGTCAGCACACTGACCTGCTGGCCTTTACCCTTGGCTGAGGCAATGCTGCAGCCCTGACAAGGCCTGATAAGATTGAGATAGAGTCCATTTATCCGTCAAGAGGAGGTAAGTGATGCCGCCAGGAGGTAAGTGATGCCGCCATCATCTCTAATCTAATGAAGCAGAGATAACCAAGGTAACAGATCCAGAGGCCAGGAAATTTTCATCAGACACGTTAAGAGCAGGTGGGATCTCTCAACTGCTGATACAGAGATATTCAGAAAAGGGCTCTGGATGTGGAATTATTCAAGTGGATGAGTTGTTGCGTAACATCAGGCCACGCGCTTTTGAAGGGGAATTAGACCGAGTTGCCAGTTTAGTGGGCACACCTCTAGAATGAAATGCAATCCACCACAACGTTTTAGAGCTTATACTCCTCTAATATTCTGCCGCCCTCATGGATTGTACATATAAATGGGGGTGAACAAAATATGAGAAATCCCTCTCAGTATAATATGATCCATCCATCAACATGAACTATAACAAGTCGTGCACGTCAAAATAGTTTGTCATTGCCTTTCAAAACAATCTATGTAAGTGTTGTCTGATATGGCGCCTCCATTGTTATTGGCAGGACACCATTGTTTGTCAGTGCCTTCCAAAATGCCAAAATGCAAAATGACTGTTACAACAAAATGTATTCATATGAATGTTTTTTTAATTTGCTATGGTTAAGTTCCTTGGGTTAGTGTCTCTGATCGGTAGCCAATGTCAGTCACTCACATCAAATGTTTAGAAAAAACATCACACACTATGTGATTTTATCTGCAAACATCAAATGACTAAGGCTGGAACAGACCCGGCCAACTTGGCCCGATCAGTTGTCATGCCTGACATCACATCAGTAATGGGCTCAGTAGTTGTAATAGTTGTAACAGATTCAAGAGTTCAAACATTTGAACAAACAAGCAATGCTCTTGTCTTTCTGAGTACTGACTCAAATTGCCAGGGTTGAATGAACTTGGATGAGCGTCAACAAATACTGAACATTATGAGCTTAACAAAAGAATAGATTTTTTGCATTAGATTCTATAGGTTAAATTACCTGTGTTTATATAGGTTTTGCTCTGGACTGGTGTTCCCTCGTTGCTTAGATCATTATGAAATTATATGTAGAAGAAAAACTATCAATACTGACATAGAAGATTTTTCCACTGATGTTGCCAGATCAAAACAGCCTATACAAATTGCATTCATAGTGTTTCCGTATATTTTGTTCCCACTGAGCACTTCAAAGCTGTATACATCTGGTGTGTACTAAATGTACAGCTACAACTGCCATTATCAAGTGATTTGCAATAAAACAAGATGCTGTCACCCGGCCAAGGCATTCCAGCTAAGTGGCCCAGACACAGCGCACATAGGAATCCACTTAGCATCAAGCCACCATGAACACAGAAATGATTGACTCTGCCTCACGTATAGCATTCAAATGAAATAAAAGGCAATGTGTTTCCGCGGCAAGCCATTCCCGCTCCTTATCCTAGCAGACTCCGTCTTTCTGTCTGACCTTTCACTCTCAATCCAACCCTCCGTACCTGCCAAGAGCCTCCAGAGCAGAGCCGGGATGGGGATGAATGAGGTCGAGTGAAAGACCCTGACGTTGACGTAAGAGGGGCAGCGGACTGAAACAAAAGAGGTTCCACAACAAAGCCGAGGGTTAAAAGGCCTTGTTGCTGCTGGAAGGAGCTCAGCCGCTGCTGGCAAGGAGCCACCACAGTATGTTCACTCTCATGCAAACACATCTACTGGCATCCAGAAGTCGTGACTGTCACACTACATTGGCAAACTTGTTCTTTGCACGGTAGGGTGTCACCGCAGCGATTAGCTTTGGCATCTACTGCTCTGAAAATGTGCGCCCTGGGGCACTGCCAAGTTACAAAATCAGAAAAGTCATAGACCAGCTTACACAGCCACAGCTCCCAATTGTCTTTGTGACTTCTGCAGCACAACAAGGACTCGTGAGCATGGCAACGAGCTCTTTTCACCGCTCATTAAAAAAAAGCATCTCTTAAAGAGAAGAGAGAGAAGCCTACATAAAATAAATAAATAAATAAAAGGGTACACATGGAAAAGTGAGTTCATTGAAGCACCATGTGAGGTGAGGACGCTCGCTTTTAAAGCTGAATGGTTAGACTTGATTTCACTGGAATACATACTTTGGTTGAAATTTTATGACCAAATACCTGCTAATCACATTCCCATCAGCCTCAGTTATTCTTGTATTTAGAGCTAATTAAAGACCCCCTCTGATAAAAATCTTGTTAACATCCATATGATGTTTTTTCATATAATACAGGACATATCATGAGCGAAATAAGCAGTCAACGCCATGACCCTGGAACTGCGGCAGCGGGGGGGGGGTCCAGTGCAGAAAGGTGAGACTTTTCATTAGCACAGCATAACAAGCTAACAAACAACACAAACAAATAACTACGCTTACTGATCTGATACGTCTTCTAGCTGCCAATTTTGTTCAGATTAAACTCCTCAACAAACTCCTGAGTCTGGGTCTGACTGAGGCTCAAACATGTGGTTGAGTCCCTCTGATGTTTCCTCCTCTAACCATCTTGATACACACTGCTCCTTCACCTGTCAGCCCAGTACAAGCAGCAGTAGTGGGTGAGGCCTGATCCAGAATTTCTCAATGAGGAACTAAGAGTAGATGTTCCCCCCAACCCACTTTTTATGTGTGAAAACAACATTAAACAAAATATTAATCATAGCAGAGTATTTTTTACAAAGTCTTAAACATGTAGGGGAGGAACCTTGACAAATGTTAGCATGCTAACATACTAAACTAACATGGTGAGCAAGGTAAACACTATACCTGCTGAATACTAGCATGTTAGCAATTTCATTGTGAGTACATTAGTATGCTGAAAGCACTGCTGTGCTTGAGTACAGCCTCGCAAGGCCACTAGCATGGCTGCTCTCGAATATATCCTTGGTATTTCTGTACTGCAGTTTCTTAATACGTATACATACAGTATGAAACCAAAGAGATACATCCGCAACAAATTAATATCAACCATTATATTATATATTGACCTGGTCAAGTTAACTGTTGAGCTCTAGAGTGTATGTATACTGTATACTGGTACACACCTATGTGAGGAATTTATTCCATTTCTACTATGTGGCTCTGTGTGTGTGTGTGTACGTGTGTGTGTGTGTGTGTGTGTGTGTGTGTGTGTGTGTGTGTGTGTGTGTGTGTGTGTGTGCATGTGTGTGTGCGTGCGTGCATGTGTGCGCTCTATAAACTCCTCTGACCTCAACAGAATGCCACACTATCGTCCTCCCATCATGCCTCTGGACCACTTAATTTTACCCAGAAGCAAATCCATGCTGAGCTGAGGTATAAGATAGGAGCAGGAGCCAGGCTGGAAGATGTGGACTCAGTGAAAAGATCCAAACCCCAGAAGCAGATGGGTATGTGATGGAAACCACAGTGGAAAACACAGCCAATGCCCAAAATATCAAGCTTAAACCTAACGCCCTCCCAGTCCCCAAAATAGATTATTCACTCAACAGAGACAGTAAATTATAGCAGCCTAGGCTGCTGCCTCTCAAGATAAATCTAGCAGTGAACATCTTCTGATTTGCCAGTAATGAAATCTTATTATTTTATTTTGTAGATTACATGGTGGCTGTTTTTTCTACACTCATGCAACAACTAAAATAAGCCAGAATGGTTTGACTCAGAGCTCGAGTACATCCAGTCATGAGTGCTCAGTGCAGCCAAAATGCCCTCAATCAAGCATTCTGTGGAACAAAAATAATGACTCACTAAAATGTCAGTTAGGAAATAATCTGTCTGCCCATTATATAATTCCATATGATAAGTTGGAATGGAAAATGAGCCATTTCACAGCAGCGACAGAGACAAACTGAGATATTTTCAATGATAACAACAACATTAACAGGTCTCCAAATCAACTTGCATGTTCTTGTGGGGCATTTTTTGCACCACAGAGATCAAGACAAGTAGTCAAACATTGTCTTGTGAAATGCTGCAAGACGCACAGCAGGCATGTCTGGACCAATAACGCATTGCTGCAATTCCAAAATGAAGTCTGAAATTTGGGTGAGGAGGCCACATAAAAGCTTCTCTGCTTCACGTGGAGATCTGCATGATCTCTTGATTTCTCACACCCAGCTGTTAATAACCATGCCTCCATTTGGAAACAGGAAGGTGTTCAGAACTAAAGTGGGTATCGAGGGATTAGGAAACAATGAGGAGGCTGAACCATAACTGACTGTGTAGATGACTGTAAAGGGCCTAAGATGACTAAGTCTGATCAGATGTACTACTGCGTTGGTGCATAAGCACAGCTGAAGCTGAATAAAAGCAATTCCTTTAATGAACAATATCTATCAAAAAGATATTCTGTAATACAATGAAAAAACAAAGACAAAGTGTCTTTTCATCGATCATACATTAGCTGTGCTTGTCATCAGATTGCACAGCAGGCGCGTGTCAATACTACATTTCTAACATGTCAACTTTTCTTTTCAAAGGAGTCTAAAAATTGACTCATAAACATGGAAAACACAAATGATGGGGAAAAAAAGTGAAGGCT